TGTGACAAAATGACCACACAACTCTTGACAGACATCTGCGCTGTTTGCAGCTTGGGGCTGTTCTATTCGAATAGAACAGGGCTGCTGTGGGAAGTTCTTGCATGTGTCTTTTGGGGAATATGCGAATGCATTTCACTGAAGGTATGATTAGAGTCGGTAGATTCTGCCAAACAATTTTCTTCAAGTAGTTATTGTATCTGTCCACCATGGTCAGAAGGGTTTGCCCAACCTCACCCCTTTATTCCCACTCAGCATTAAGTGGTCAATCTTTTATTTTACTTTATTTAGAAAAGATCTTGCTATGTAGCCCAACCTGGCTTTAAGTTTGCGATCCTCCTGCCTCAGACTCCCGAGTGCCGGGATTACAGGCATGTGGCACTATGCCTGGCCTAAATGAATACTAGCATCTTTCAAATTCAGCTTCGATACTAGACAAGTAATGACCTACAAAGTTGTCTGTGATGTATCATTAAAGTGGCATAAGCAGATTTCAGGCCAATAAGCATAATCCAGCTCCATTCATGAAAATTGTGTCTATGTGGGTATATAGAAAATTCAGAAAGGCTTTGTTCAAGGTCTTCACCCCATGGCCCCCTCTGGGGAGAGGTGTTTGTGAGCATAGTTTTAAATAATAAGATTAGGGAGAATTTTTACTTTTAATTCTGTTTTCCAGTATTTAAAAAAAAAATATTGGTGGGACTGCAGAATTTTTAAATTTAAAAAAACTATTAATTTCATAAATGAAATTAAATTCTCCGTTCTCCTCCCCTGCTTACTGTCACATGCCCTTCCATTACCTAAAGCCAGCAGCCTGACTCTATCTTTCTTGTTATGTCCCAGCATTCTCTCCTGCTTTGGAATTACCCTGGGCAGGACCTCTGGGACAAATCTCCTGGGCACTGTAATTTCCCTGGCTGTGTGGTGTGTCATTAGACAATTTGGTGCTGATGACACGACGCCTGTGTGAAGCAAAGATTACAGCCCCTGATGGGATGGGATGAGACAGGACAGCTTGGCCAGGGAGCAGCTCTCCCCTGACCCCCCCCGACCCCATGCCCCCCCACACTGAGGTCCCCCAGCAGACACTGGGATTGCCAGCCCCCCATGGGGCTCAGGACCCAGAGCTAGGCTGTGGAGTTGGCAGACCTGGGTTCCAGTTGTGTCACTCTCCCTATGAGTCCCTCATGGGCCTCCATGTCCTCACCTGTAAAATGGGCCAATGACACCATTCCCCTTAAAGACAACACAATGTCACACTCAGCCCTCTGTAAATACAGACTGTCCTTATGATTGTCGTCATGGTTGTTGCTGTTGTTACCACTGCAAGAGGGAGAGTTTTGCATTAATCTTTTGAGGGAAAAACAAGAATGAGCTCTTTATTAACAAAATACGGCTTTTCCTGGAGAAAATGGACTTTGCCTGGACCAAAAATGCATGTTTTTGCTGGAAGGTTAAGTAGTCATTCACCATGGACCCATCCAAGGGATAGCTGTGGAGTGCCTACTGTATGCTGACCCTATCTTGAAAAACCCTTCACAAAAAAAAGGACTGGCAGAGTGGCTCAAGTGGTAGAGCGCCTGCCTGGCAAGCGTGAAGCCCTGAGTTCAAGCCCGGTACAGCAAAACAATAACAAAAAACTGATGTCCATCAGGCCTGGGAAGAAAAATCTAGCCGGTAGGAGGAGAGAGGGGCTCGGCGCTGCCTCACTGTTCTATCCACTGCATTCAGTAGGCTCGGAGCTCTCCCCTGAAGTCCCAGCAAAGTATCCACAGAAGAGGAGAAAATGCCACGGCCTGGGGCCACCACCCATGGCAATACCCAGGAACAAGGATGCACCCTCCAAGGGCCTGGCATCTTCCCCACTCCAGAAGCTTCCAGTAAAATGGCAGCCCCGTGTTTACCCTCAGCTTCAGGTGTCCATAAGAGAGTCATGGGGCTGGGCCCCATGGATCCTGGTCCCCAGGATGATGTGGACTCCTAGGTCTCTAGACCCAGCAGGGAGACCAGCCTGGCTTCCATGCAGGCTGTGCACCCCACCCAGCCCCTCACCCCACTCCAGCCAGCAAATTTTCCTTGCATTAATCAAAGAGCCTGCACTGGTCCGAGCTCACCAGGGGCCTCCTCCAGCGGCCACTTTGTGTTCGGTAGATTAATTGCAGCTGGGGGAGGGGAAGGAATCCATTTTTAGAAAATCATTACTTTCAGAAAGAGAGGGGGGCGCCTCTGGCTGGGGAAAAAGTGCTGAGCTGGCAGCTTGGGCCTGCTGCTCCAGCGCCAGGGAACAGGGACTGTGCGTGCGGGCTGCTCCCAGCTCAGCAGGGAACATGGTGGCCTGCGTGAACCCCCACTCCCTCTGCCTAAGGCCAGAGCACCCCCACTTTCCACACCTAGCTGCTACTGGCTCTGCTTCCAGCGCTGGGGTCAGCAGTTTGTTGGCATCCTGAGCAGAAGGGGTCACCCCAACCTTGACCACCCCTCACTGTCCATTGACAGTCTTCTCTCCCTTTGCTGCACACTGTCCTACCCTGAGGTCACTGTCAGCCCAGCCACAGCTCTGGGGAAAGGTGATGGTTGGGGACCCTGAATGCTAACTATCTGTAATTGAGCACTGAGTAGACATAACTATGAAAATGTCACTTATTTAGTTCAAAATAAACATAGTGGCAATTCCACGAGGTTTGACCTGATTATCCCACGGCCAGCTTTTCATCTGTTTGTTTGAGAGAACGTCCAGCTCGGCAGGTACGTTCCCATTTTGTTTCAGAAATTGAGATTCAGAGGTTACATGGCGTGCCCAACTGACTGCTCCACCCAGCTGTACCTGACTCCCAAACCTGTGACCACAAGCCACAGTCTAGTTCCTGTCCCCAACACACCTGCAACGACAGTTGAGTTGTGTATCCTTCGAACTGTTGCAAAGGGCTGGGCTGAAGGCTGGGGCCCAGCTGAGCATCAGGAAGGCAGTGTGCTATGGTCTGGGTGCAAATCCAGCCTCGGCTGTGTGGGTGATCCCAGGCAAATGAGTCAAACTCTTGGTTGGAGGATTGGCTCTTCCTGGGTCAGGAATCATTTGCAGTGTGGGGGAACATGACTCTAGCATGGCCGTTGGTGTAAATAAACACATACACATATTAAGCACTGGGTTGAGCACTCAAGTCAGCTTGGTCTTTTTAAACCAGAAGTCATTTAAGAAAACACATACACCTAACTTGAGCACCCCTTGACCCTGCCCTGCCCAGGGATTAGATGGTACACAGGTGATGAGATCTGGGCTGGAATACCTCCCAGCTGGGGGACCTTGGGGAAGCCTTTGGAGGTCAGTTTCCTCATCTGTAGAATGGGGTGATGGTGACAGGACGACCCCAATGTAAAGCACTCAGAACACTCCGCAGCAGTCAGGACAGTCTTGACTCTTTGTTACTCTCATTCCCAGGCCACACTAAGCCCACAACTCTCTGCCTCTCCCTCCCCCAGAGGCAGCTCAGACCCAGAACATGCCCTCGAGTGATGCTGGAGGATCAGCCAGACACTCACATATGCAATGTTCTCAGGCACGCTGACGGTGAGCAGATCACTGTGGACGACAACCTCTCTGCAGCAAAATGCCAACTACCAGCGAATGCCAGACTTCTAAGCATTCCTCCTCCCCCACCCACTCACCCCATGCCCACACCCAATTCCAGCCTCCTCTAGAGGCCTCAGCTTCTGCCTCCTAAATACAGAGGCAGTGGGGCTGATGGAAGCCGGTCACATACCATATAAGCATCTGTACAGGATCCTCACAGCCCTCACTATTCACTTCCTCCCTGTGAGACCCTAGTCAAGTCATTTAGCCTCTCGACACCTCCATTTTTGCAGAGTCCCAGTGGAGATTAAACAATTCTCCTAACCAGTTAGCAGTGTGCCTGGCACCTGTGGAAGGCATTCAGTGAGGGATGACTCTTATTATTGAAAGCGCGCCCCTGGCGTGCTGATGCAAGTCAGTGCAAACTAAAATGACTTTGACAGCTCTCTAATGTAACACCTTCCATCCCCACCCCTCCTCCGCCACAACCACCCTGGAGTTAATTAGAACTCTCCTTGGGTGTTTTCCAAAGATGGGATTTTACACTTATGCTGGGCTAGAGTAAGTGGAGGTGGGTTTCAGTTCAACTGAGAGGTAGTGAGCCTCTCCTCCCCACAGGTGGACAAGTTGGCCCAGGTGACCATTTGGCAGTAATGCTCTGTGTTCCTATTTCTCGATACACAGTTGTATTAGATAGAATTGCCTTTAATGAATTGGTGGTGCCAGCAGGCTGTGTCGTGATTGGCAAAACAATAAAGTCAGCAGTTCTGCAGTGGCCCTCTAGTAAGGTCCTTGAAGTTGTACTGGCTCATGGTATCTGAAAATCTAACTTCTGCTTCAAAAGCCACCTACCTGGATCCAAGGTTCGAAACCCCCGACGTAGACAGCCTCTGGCCACTGGCAGAAATCCTGGGTCAGCTAAGGTAGGATGGGTACCAAGGGGGCGCCTTGCAACCAGGGCTGGGCTGGGCAACTGAGGGGGTATGGAGGGGGCCTTGGACTCAAATGTCTGGCACGTGACTCAGGAAGGACCAGAAGGCACCCAGATGCAGCAGGCCCAGGATTTAAGGCCAAGTGCAGAGTTGCAAGAACCAGGTGAACCTGCTCCTCGGGGTCGTACTTGCCCGCGTCGTTGACCCAAACTCCTTAGCTGGGTCTCCCCAGGTGCCGCCCTCCTTCCTCAATTCCACCAGCTTTGAAACATCAGCCACAGGCCTTTCTTAGGTAGTCTCCCGTGACAAATTCAGGACACCAGCCAGCTCTGCCCTGGGGTCACAGCCTATGAAGATGGGGTGTCTGGGAGGCCAGGAAAAGCCACTACTTAAGGGCCCAAGTTTCGTGGCCCTCCACCTTCATGTCCCCAACTCCACAAAGGTCTGATAATCCCTCCCTTCCTCTCCTCCAAGCAGAAGAAAAGGAGCTAGGAGACATGGACTCAAGTATACATTTTAAAAATTGTTTAATGGAACATAAACAATTTAGAAAAACATTCAGCTAGGTGATAACACCTATAGAAAAAACACCAATCTTGTGTTTATCTTTTTTAATTTGGCATTTGTTATTTGCATTTATATTAAAGCAAAGTGCATCTTTTCTTTTTTTGTTTATACACATTGCACAATACATAAATAATGATGCTTATAAAACGTCTTTCTATTTACAAGTAATAATATATTTATATATAACATAAAATACATTTTTTTCTTTAATAAATCTCAGGATTTTTTCAGGAGTCCTTTCTCTCTCAAAGCACTACAATGCTAAATTTCCAATGAGAATGCTTTTCTCTTGTTCATTTAAACCTTTGTAGTTAGAAAAATAGCTTATGTTAAAGTTTAAACATGCTCATTGAGCCAAGAACAGTGTCCGAGTATCATACGAGTGTATGAGTTGTAGAAGTAAGAGGAGCTGGGCATCAGCCTAGGATGGTACCTTGGGTTATGGTGGACCAAACCCTTCTGTGTGGGAGGGGGCCATTGAGCAGGTCCCTTCCCCGATGCCCCTCGCTGGTCTAACGGCAGAGCTCAACACACAGGCTGGGGAGGGGACAAAAGTGCTGAGCTGGCTTTCAAAGTCTGGGAGAAGAAACCTGATGTAACAGGGCAGGGGACAGGCTGAAGGGCCTGAGAGGGCACTGGGTGAGCAATACTGTGACTGGGCCGCCCCGGCAGCCCTCAGGAAGCCCATCTCAGAGATCCAGGAGCAGATGGCCAAAAAAAGACACACACAATGGCAGCGGGGTGGCAGGGGGAAGTAAGACAGGGATGAGAACAATTGGTTCTGGTTCAGCCTCTAGCAGGCTCAGTTTCTCAGAAGCCTGTGGATAGGCCTGTGTCCTAAGGTGGGGGTGGGGAGAGGGGGAAGGAGTTGGGGGGGGGGCAGGCTGGGCAGAGCCTTGCTCTGGCAGCTGCTGAGACACCAGCCGCCGGCCTGCTCAGGTACTGCCTCTGCCCCACTGAGCATGTCCAAAGGACCGAGAAACACACAGCTGGGAACTGCAGGCCTCTCAGCTGGGGACATCGTAAGGAACACAAAGAGCAAGCCATTTCCCCATCTGTTATTCACGCACACATGTGTGCACACATTTTCAGACACACTAGCACATACACTCCTGACAAGTGAAATGCTGACCCACAAGTGGAGGGAGTGCCCCCCCTTCACGTACTGAGCTTGCGGGGTGGGGGGCTGGCTCTTGCTTCCCCTTTTCCTTTCGAGGTGTCCTGCCAACCACACCTGCCCCTCCCAATAAAAAAAAAAAAAAAGTCTTTTCATAAGCTATTTCTCAAAGAACAAAACACAACACACACAAGAACAACAAGGAAGAAAAAAAAAAGACACAACAACAAAAAACCGACCAAAGAGTCTGCATGAAAAGCAAGCACTCAGGAGGAAAATATTAGCAGCAAAGTAGTTTGAATGGTGGCCTGCTCGGCTCACGCTCCATTCTGTCCTCTCCCACGGTCCGTGCAGTCCCCACGTGCTATCGGCTATTGAAGATGACCTCTAGCCAGCACGGGCAGCTGCTGATAAACTGGCGGGTGTAGCACTGGCCCCAGCCCTTCACGAAGCTGATCTGCACTGTGAAACCCGTCCACGGCTGCTGCATGAATTCATGATCGTTGGGCCGCTGCAGGCTGTAGGCCTTCTCATAGTCGAAAGCCTTGATGGAGAAACCGGGGAACACCTTGTGCACCAACAGCGTCCTGGAGTCCGGGTTGTCCAGTGTGGCGGACTTGATGAAGATGGGGTAACTGCTGCGGTTGTACACCCACACGCCATCCACTTCCCGAGTCAGCTGGATGCCACAGCCGATTTTGCTCCGTACTTTCTGCACCAGCTGACTCTTGTTGTCCGAATTGAGCTGTCCGAGGCAAAAGCCATTCCCCTGAGGTAGATCATAGAAGATGTCCAGGGAGGGCTCCTGGACACAGTAGAGCCTCCCCACTCTCGTCTTCTCCTCCCAGTATGCCACCACGCACCAGTGTGACCGATCCCCAGGCTCCAGAAGAAGTTGGGAATCTACAAAACAAAATGGCAGACATAGTTGGTGGTGGTGACAATTAACGGTTTCCTTTTCCTCCTAGAAACAAATTTACACATGTGGGCACCCATACCAGCTTATCTCTCAGTACAAGACAGGAAGGAGTGACAGTGAGCACGTACTAGCTGCAGGCTGTACTGTCCCCCTACTGGGATGTGGACATCTTGATCCTCCAAGAGCAAAGCCCTGCCTTTCTTTCTTTCTTTCTTTTTTTTTGCAGTACTGGGGTTTAAACTCAGGGCCTATACCTTGAGCCGATCCACCACCCCTTTTTTGTGAAGGGTTTTTCAAGATAGGGTCTCACAGAACTATTTGCCTGGGCTGGCTTCAAACCACTATCCTCCTGATCCCTGCCTCCTGAGTAGCTAGGATTACAGGTGTAGCCACCAGTGCCCAGCCCTGCCTTTCTTTAAGCATGGGGCTTCCCTTGAGGTGCTTCTCCCTCCACTCCCCTGTTTTGTCAGGACTCCAGAGAGCCGCACCTGTGCCCACCTGGCCATCCCTGCAGAGCAAGACACCAGGGGACCGGATGCTTTGGACTCCAGGAAGCCTCAGAGGTAGCCTAGAATTACAGATCCTTCAGCTGGACAGAGCCTTGAAGCTGAGCTCCTGCAGCCCCTTGTCATCTGATGAGAAAAGCTGGGGTACTAGGTGGTGACCCAGACAGACTGAGAAGTCAGGTGGCTCAGGCTCTAGGACCACCTACTCTGTGATCTCTGTGCTTGTCTCCCATTTCTAAGATCAGTGCCTTGGTTATAAGGGATGCCTCGATCTGATAAAGAGGAGAGTGGTTTGGGGCAAAAACATCCATTTTCCTAATAGAAAACCAACTCAGTGTGCCAGCCCAGCGTTCATGTCAAATGCCAAATCACACCCAGGTAAGCATTAGCCCAGCAGGGTATCAACCCAGACCACCTGAACGAAGCCTCCCCTTCCCAGCCCTTCCCAGCCCGAAGATGCTGGGTCTACCACAGTTGTGATCCTCTGCTCACAAAGGTGCCCCCTTTCTCTTCCAGGCCGACCCTGCACAGCCCTAGGGTTAAAGCTAGCACCCCTTCCCCTCACATCTCCCTCCTGTGCCAGCTGATAGCCATGGGTGATTCTGACGAGGTGACTTTCCTAAGCAGGGGATGGTGTGGAGAGAAACCCCCTCCCCTGCTGGCATCCTGCTGCCTGCTTAAGCTGGAGCCAGCGGCAGGCAGGAGTCCGACTGGGGACTATAAATCTCCCCAGCCCAGTCGGGCTGCAGGAACGCTGTGGTTTGTGGCAGCAGGGTGGAGACCGGAAGTCTTGTATTTGTTAACAAAAATGGGGAAAGGCAGGGGGCTCAGATGGAAGGGATGGGGGGGGAGCCCAGAGTCGGAGGCCTCCTGTCGCTTTCCCACTCTGGTGGGCTTAGGGGGCCTGGAAAGTGAGGGCTGAGTGTGGGAGGTGTTTTTGCTGTGGCCTTTGTGCGTGTCTGAGCAACCCAGCTCTGAGAGATGATGAGGGCTGTCCCATGTGGGCAAGGAGGGGGAAGGACTCAGGCCCACGTCCTGCCGCCTCAGCAGGCTGGGTTACCCAGTGCAGCTCACAGCTCAGTGCATCAATCCTTTTCAACTTTTAAGGCATGTTAAGACCTGGGAGCCAGTCAGCTCTGTTGTTTTTTTTTTTAAAGCAGCAGCCAGTCTTGGATGGTAGTGTCCCAAGTTAACTCTGTACAAACATGCATACTGTGACCCACTGAGGCAGCCAGCCTCTCTCTCGCTCTCTCTCTCTCTCTCTCTGAGTGCCTGTCCCCTACAGATACCACCCCCCACCAAACTGGCCTTCCCAAGGCCTGCCCAGACAGCTCCACACAAAGGGGAAGCAGAGAGCTCATTCCTTCTCCTCCATCCCCACCCCACTGAAAACCAACACCACAAACTCGCCTGTCACCATCCCTGCCCCCACTCCATGTAGTTACAAAGTCCAAGTGTGTGAGAGACCGAAGTGTGTGTCCCAGTGTAAAGAAATGAGTGTGTGCACACACACACACACTGGAACAGATGGAAAAACAAGAGAGGGACAAGGGCTCCGAGCAGAAGGTGACTCATCAGGCACTAACTTGTTTCTGCAAAGTATCCATCAACTGCTAATAAACTCGTGAGTGCTGGCAGTCTTTGAACTTTCTTGCCGAAGGAGTTCAGCTCTGAAGGCCACACCATCAACCCCAGTCCATGGGAGGAGGAATACTTCTGGCTGCAAGTGTGGCAGCTGGATGAAGGGCCTCTTCTGGGAGGCAAAGGACATCCCTTTGCAGGGACGAGGGGGTTTTGAAGCGCCAGAAACTCTGGCTTGTTATCCAGACTCAGGACAGCAAACCGGGGCTGGCAAGGAAGACTTGGAGTGGCTGGCAGCAGGGAGGGACGCTCAGGCGACCCTCGGCCAGCCTCACAATGCTTTGTTTCATGCAGCCTGGCCCCAATGAAACCTGGCACCACTGGCAGGCAGGAGGAGGAGAAGGAGGTGCGGTGGAGCAGGGGCTCAGGATCGAGTTGCCCCAGCGTCAGGCCTGCTGGCCGCCTTGCCAAGGGAGAGGGGGCCTCGCCTGCCAGGCAGGCCTCCGGGGGCAGAGCAAGCTGGGTGATGCCAGGACCTGAGGCCTTGTCGGGGGCAGAGGGGCAAGCACGCCCGGTTTTCTCTTTCATCTGCACAGCCAGTCTACCCAGCAATTTGCTTTTTCCCATCCCCTGGAAAAAGTCTTTTTCTGTTGAGGTTAATGGTCTAGCCCAGATACATGGCAATATGTGGGTGTCCCTGTATATGAAGAAGGTCCCTGAAAAGGCTCAGGGTCCTAATCCAATGCAGGGAGACCCCGGCCTGCTCCTCACTCTCTACCAAACCCACCTGACCACAGCAAAGACCCCTTAAAACACAATCCCCAGCGTGGATCTCACACCTTCTGGGGACCTAGCACAACATCCCACAACGACAGGACAGAAACACACGGCCCCCTTCGCCCTGAATTCCCCACTACTTGAGCTCATTTCTGGGAATCACCCAGCACCATCCTCACGAGAACAGTTCTCTGAATTGGACCCACAGCCCACAAGAGTCTCCCCACAAAGGTTAGGGGGGTGCTTTGCTCTTGGGGCTTCCCAGGACACATGACCAGGCCCTGAGAAGTCCCTAGTCACCACAGGACTAGGAAGAAGAGTGTCAGAGGACCAACTCTGGCTTCTTCTTCTGTCAATGATGCTTATGCTACCAAGGCAAAAACTCACAGTCCCTTGTTAACGTCAAGCTTTATAGCCTTTTCCGGTATTTTCAACAACTTCTTCCCCTCCCCAGAAACCTGTACAGGGGCTTGTTTAAAAACTGTATGTGTTCATTTTAAAGCATCCACAAGAAAAGCTGTGTTGTAAAAAGCTCACTAATCAGATGCCTGAGCACAAATTTTTCCTTTTTATTACAGTTGAGGGAATTTTTGGAGCCACACCAGAAAAATGCTGAATCTGCCTAAAATACCTTCCCCTCCCCTTCCTCATTTTCCTTAAAACATAAAGTCTGAAGGGAGAGGTGGGAACTAAAAGGAGGATTTCACCCCCATCAACACTTAGCATTGGAAGAGCACTGAGCTGGCAGCTCCCTGCCCTCTACAAAGAGTTGGCTAATTACACTGGTTAAGAATGAGAACGAGCCCTTCTAGACCAGAGCTCATGAATGACTCTCACATTCCAGGTCTCAATGGCACAGGGTGACCAGACCTCCAGGCCACATTTTAGGTAAGAAAGGATATTCCCCCATTTCAAATATTTAATTAGAGGTATAAGGAGATGAGGAAGAATAACAGCAGGAAGAGAAAGCCCAAGTTCAGAACCTCAATGGTTACCACTTCCAGTCTCCAGCTTGGGAAGTTGACAGAGAGGCCTATTCCAAAAACATTTGTGGGATTCTGAGAAACCAGATATACATGACAGTGGGGTTCAACCACCCATAGAGAGCTGATAAGGAAAGGAGATTCCCAAGATTTGGACCTTCTGGGACAGGAGCAAGGTTGAGAAAGGAAGCCAGTAGGGACAGAGCCACAACAGCTGGCATCCAGAGGTTAAACGTGCTCAAATACTAGGGCACAGGGGTAGGGAGTTGGAGTAGCAGGTGGCCAGGGAAGGGGACACTTCAGCCCATGCTCCTCTCTGCAGGGCACTCAGGTTGTAGAGCTGTAATCCCCAGCCTAACTCAAATGGGACTGATCACCCAGCAGGGCAGAGGCTGCTGAGACACAGGAGGGAGGGAACCTGGGCACAAACACTGCTCCCTCGGCCCTTTCCATGCTGGCCAGGGCAAAGGAAGGGCAGAAATGTAGACACAAAGGCTCACTCACACCCAGCAAGCCCTGAACACAAACAGCCACACCTCACCCGTGCAAGTCCAGGGTCCTCCCTCCTTAGAAGGCGCCACCAGGCTGTCCCATCCAGTCCTTCCCTCACCATCAGACATCTCAAAGGTTAATAGCCTCATCGCCCTGCTCCTCACCCTGCCAGGAGGCTGGCTGTTCTAAGCTCACCAAAGCCCCTTCAGGGACTCAGCACCAGTTCATCCACGCTAGTCTCACCCCAAATCATTACAAGGACTTGCATTGTTCTCTTCTTTCCAAGAGGCAAATGATCAAATACAAAAATGGCCGAGGTATCTGGGCTTGGGGTTGGCTCTGACCTGCCATGTTTGCAACCTCACCCAGAACCTGTGTGAATTCCTAAAACAGTTGGGGACAACCCTGGGCTTTAGAACAACCTGCCCTTAGCGGCTGAAACAGTTTCAAAATGCTTCAGATTAAGTCTCTATACTGAGAAAATGCTAGACTCAGCCCATCACCCCCACTCCAAGCAAGAGAGCATCAGAGAGTAAGGTCTGGTTGGTGGTGACAAGCTTGGACTTATTTCACACTCTGAAACATCTCCACTAGGGATCTCCACCAAAGGCCAGGTGCTCTTTCAAGGTCCCTGGGCCAAACCAT